AATGTTTTAATCAGGTTAAACATATCTACTTCCTTAAACATTTGTCATTTATTTATAGCCAAAACATTAAAATCCTTTCTTCTAAATTTTTAAAATATACACAATTTATTGCTAAAACTATAATCATCCTTCTGTGTGATAGCACACTAGAACTTACTTCTATCTAACAAAACTAAGAAATTCAAATGGAAAATTTGATTAATTTGATTAACTATGGATGATCTTCATGTATTATAAAGAAAAGGTGCAGTACTTTTCAGTCCAGTGTGTCCTTCAGCTATCTGGACTCAGTACTAGTCTACTTTAGCCATTGTTTTATGGACAAATCTTTCACCACTAGTGCTCTTAGACATTCAAGTCTGCTATGCATTTCTTGAGAAAAAGAATAATCAGGTGTACTGGAGCCAGCTCTCAGTGGCTCCCAAAAGCCACTGGGCACATTTTTCTAACACTGCAGTTCAGCAACAGCAGGTTGGTAGCTTGAAATTGGTCATGGTGGGAGTATTTATACAATGGAAACTGGCAAACACTGCAAATTAGGAGTTGTTTTCCTTTTGGAACACTTAAAACATTTACCAGCACTCCACTTGAAATAACACAGCAATCAGCTGTATAATTTATACACATTTAAATTTTGTGCCAAACTAGAATAATCATTTATTAAAACAATGCTTGTGTTTTCTTTTGGATGAATTCTGTTTTGAATGAAAACTTAATATTGACAATTTGTTTCACATTAGACTCAAGAGAATTGATCGGTCTGCCATTTCCATTTTTCAGTTTATCCAAGCCACTGACACACTGAAAGCATGTTGTTATTTCTTTGGAAACTTTTCAGTAGAGACTGCAATTTACCAAGAGCTGCTAGGGCTAGCATTGTTTAATGTGTGGTTTAAATTTTATCTTGTTTATAGAGTCAGGATATGCTACTAATCCATGACTTAAAACCTGACAGCTTTATCGAGCATCATTACAGCTGGTGTTTTTCACTCTGTTAATCTCACTCATCTCTGACTTCCTATATAATAGCTGGAAAAGACATTAGGAATGACATATTTATGTGTATGGACACAGTTGATCAATCCATCTAGGCTGTGGGGAATGCTGACTAAGGCACACTAGGTAAATAACTGGAAGGCAATAAATGGAAGAGGGAAGGGCCTGCAAAATGGAGCTCTGAATTTTGTAATCTCAAATGGCTCCAATATCATGAACAGATGTGGCAAGAATTTGGATCTAATCATGTGAGGACACTTGATAGTGATACTTTATTTAACTCAGCTATTAAAATTATTATGGAAGTATATTTTCCAAATATTAATTGCCATTGAGAAAAAAAAGGGAAAAAGGAAGGAAAGAATGGAGGAAGAAATCAAGGGAGAGATAGGAGGAAGGGAAAAAAGAAAAACAACTCCAAGTCTTAATGCTAAAAACTAACAATTAAAATGTGCTTACAGAGCTATTGTAAGCTGTTTATTATTTCTTACCTTATTGTTTCTCCCAGTAGCATTATGAGTTAAGTACCATATTTTCATCCAGATTTTAGTAAATAAGGTTCTGAGTCATAGAAAGGATAAGTGACTTATCTAAGATCACTCAGCTATTATTAGTGGTGCAGCTGAGCTTCAAATTGGACAGCTAGACCAGAATCCATGTTAAACAGAATCCATTCTTAAACAGAATCCACTGCATCTGATTGGACTCTCCAAATCTAATCCTGGTCTCTCTCTGGAAAAGTCCAAACAGGGTCTCACATCTACATTTTTTATTATCTTCAAATAATGCAATACAATGAAAGAAGTATAAGAATGCCTAAAGACACTTAGAACCAGATTGTACATTTTATATTTTTTATTCTTAAGTCAAAAACTTAAAATTAAAAAGGAAGTGTTTACAATTTTTAGGACAAGTGTTCAAATGCAATTTCCATAATATCAAGCATATTCAAGAATTCATTGTATTTTAAAATTTCATTTATTAAAAGGCTCATCAAGCACACCTAATTTTAGTGGCAAAATTTTTGTGCCAAAGGAATATTCAAACTATTTTCTATTTGACTCAAGGGGCAGATGTTGAGAAATCTAGCAGCTATAAGTTTGCAGCAGGTGTGTGGCTTGCTGCTTCATTAGATTTTAACACAAATTTTATGTCTCAGTTTATGTAAGAGTATGTTGATTAGCTATGTTTTGGTAACTGAATGGATAGAGAACTGTTCATCCACATAATCCAATCTGTTTGTAAAACAGTGAGCTGTTTTAACAGACTCATGCATACCAATAAAAACAAAGATCACTATAATTTAAAGACCCACCCTCAGCCCTTTTCATGATAGGGAGATGATTGCATATCCATCGTGGACAGCTATAGCTGAGGGAAAAAATAATAAATCAATGGGCCCAGAAATCTCTGTAAGTTATATTCATAATGTTAAAATGTTACTGAATTTTTAAGGCCAAGCATATAGGAAATAAATCAAACAAGAGATGCTTTGACACTTCAAAATCGTTTAGCCCTTCTGTAACTTTAGCAAGTATTATTTTAGCAAAAAACTTTGATTTAACCTTAAAGCTGAGAAATGTAAGTCAATAAATTACTATAATTTTTGGTTTGCTTTCTCTACTTTCTAACATCAAACATTATACTCAGACTTAATCAACAATTGAAAGCAAAAAAGTATTGAAGGGTTATGAAATAGTATCTGTGGAAGAATGCATCCTATATCCTGATTTACGGTATTCTGTTCTGAAGTTTTTACAATTTTCATTCCAATAAACAATATGCCCCATAAATTTATCATTTCATTTACATTCTGACTTTATTGTTACATTGCTTCTCGGCCATTTGACAAACATCAAGTGTAGTATCCAACTTTATGTCATTGCCTTTTATTTTCCCATACACTATAATTTAATTTTTCAACCAACATGACCTATCTTACAAGTTGAGGATCCCTCACTGAAATGCCTGGGATCAGAATTATTTCAGAATTTGTTTTTTTGTTAATATTTTCATATGCATAATGAGATCTTGGGATGAGATCCATTTCTGAACAAAAATTTAATTTATGTTTCATATACAATACAGTCTGAAGGCAATTTTACATAATATTTTTAGTACACCTGTGTTTTGACTGTGACGTCTCACAAAACATCAGATATGGAATTTCCACTTGTGGTGCTATATTGGTACTCAAAAAGTTCCAGATTTCGCCTTTTGGGCTTCAAAATACAGATGCTTAAACTTCACCTGTTCTCCCACTGCAGGCCACTTGTCCATACATGTTTATCTGCCTCTCTCCCACCCTCTCTTCCCATAGAAAGTCTACTCACTCCACCAGGTCCAGTCTAATGATATTCTTTCTTTAATTTTACCTCTCAGTCAGAATCTCTTTCTTGTTCTTCTAACTTGTTTACAACATCATGAGCCTGAATTGCTCATCAATCTATCCCTATTGCACACAAAACTATACCTTGCTCATGAAAGAACATTTATTTTAAACCAGTTCAATTTAATGAATGAATGAATATATCTGAAACCACTCAAACTGTCAAATGACTAGTGCAGTCTCATTTGGAATACAAAATTAAAAATACAGTAACAAGCATTAAAGATATTTGGGGTTAAAAGATATTAACAATTTGTTCTTGTCTGTCTGCAGAAAACTGTTCTTGCATACTTTCTCAGTACACCACCTTTGACAATTACTACACAAGTTAACCAAATGTATGTGTTGGGAATCTAGTTGCAATTTTTATTTGTTCTAATTAGTTTTATGCATGATAGTAGAATGTATTTTGACATATTTTACATGTCAAAATGAGAGTATAACTTCTCATTCTTCTGCTTGTACATGATGTAGAATTATTGGTTGTATAATCATATATGCACATAGGATAGTAATGTCCAATTTATTATACTATCTTTCCTGTTCCCCTTCCCCCTTCTCTTCACTCCTCTTCGTCTAAACTACTTCTAATCTCCCCTACCCACTCCCTTATTTTGAAATTACCATCTGCATATCAGAGAAAACATTAAGTATTTGGTTTTGGGGGATTGGCTTATTTTGCTTAGTATGATCCTCTCCAGTTCCATCCATTTACCAGCAAATGCACCATAATTTCATTCCTTTTTATGGCTAATATTCCATAAAATTATTGTGAATTAAGCTGTTATATTCATTGATGTGGCTGCATCACTGTCGTATGCTGATTTTAAGTTCTTTGGATATAAACTGAGGAGTGGGATAACTGGGTCAAATGGTGGATGAATTCCAAGTTTTCTGAGGAATCTCCAAACTGCTTTCCATAGTGGTTGCACTAATTTGCAGTCCCATCAGCAATGCCTGAGTGTACCTTTTCCCCCACATCTTCACCAAAATTTATTGTTGCTTGAAATTCTTGATAATTGCCATTCTAACTGAAGTGAGATAAAATCTCAGTGCATTTATCTATGTATCAGGACAATGACTAATACATTCTTTTATCAGTCTGGTACTAAGAAAGCAGAGGTATAATTGTAGAGGTAAGAACAAGAACCATTAAGAATGATACTCCAGGAAAAACCCAGTTGGAAGCAGATAACGCATCCTTCCCAGAGGCTTTATATAACTGATCCACAGTTGGCCTCCCCAGCTGGATGGGCCCTTTGCTGGCATGGACCCTTCGATGCAATTTTTATAGAGCTGACTCAAGTTTCACAGAAGCTGACATGTTTTGTGTTAAACTTGGTTTGAACCTTATACATGGAGTTCATTCTACTAGGAATGGCCAGGAGCAGAGCTAACTGCAAGCTCTCTGGGGGATAAATTATCCTATGCTGTCATGGGCTCTCCATTTCTGCTGCTGCAGAGCTGACTTTAAAGATAGAGCTGGGAACAGCACATCTTTGTGAATATAGTTGATGACTTTGAATAATATAATTTAAAAATGATTACAAAGAACAGATTGCAAAAATGATTACCCCATCCTGTCCATGTACTTGAATACAAGTAAATGACTTACGCTTTTCTTGAAGTCGTATTTTGGTTATGAAGTGGTAGTTCTTGAGTCTTCCCACTTGAAACAGCTTAAGGTTTGACTTTACCTAAATGGAATATGCAAAAACATTCAGCATCTCTAAAAATAAGGGAAATGCAAATCAAAATTGCATTGAGATTTCATCTCACCCCAGTCAGAATAGCAATTATCAAGAAAGCAAATAACAATAAATGTTGGTGAAGATGTGGGGAAAAGTTACACTTGTACAACATTTGTAGGACTGTAAATTAGTACAACCATTCTGGAAAGCATCTTGGATATTCTTTAAAAAAAAATGGAACCCCCATATGACCCAGCTATTCCATTTCTTGGTATTTATCTAAAAGAACTAAAACCATCATAGTACTGTGATACAGCCTAAAAACTTCAATGTTTATAGGAGCACAATTCACAATAGCCAATATGTAACCAGCCCAGATGCCCACCAATAGGTAAAAGAAATTGTAGTATAAATCAACAATGGAGTTTTACTCAGTCATAAAGAATGAAATTACTGTATTTTCCAGTAAATGGATGGAACCAGAGGACATGATGCTAAGTGAAATAAGCCAGACCCAGAGAGTCAAGGGAAGAGTGTTTTCTCTCATATATAAAAGTTAAACTGAAATAAGAAAAAAAAATTGAGGGTTGGGGTATTCCATGAAAATAGAAGAGAGATCAGTGGAATAGAGAAAAAGAGGAAGGGGATTGGCCAGAAGGGATGAGGGGACAGGAAAAGGAAAGAATGGTGAAGTGAATCTGATCAAATTTATATATATAGTATATATGAATATACTACAGTGAATTTCACCATTTTTTGAGAGAGAGAGAGAGAGAAAGAGAGAGAGAGAGAATTTTAATATTTATTTTTTAGTTTTCAGCGGACACAACATCTTTGTTTGTATGTGGTGCTGAGGATTGAACCCGGGCCGCACACATGCCAGGCAAGCGCGCTACCACTTGAGCCACATCCCCAGCCCTGAATTTCACCTTTATGTATATCCATAATGCACTAATTTTAAAAACTATATAAATAGGACAAATCAGTAGAGTAGAGAAAAGGGAACAGACGGAGGAAGGAAGGAAGGAAAAAGGAAGTACTGGAGACTAAAATTGGAGCAAATTATATTATGCTCCATTAAATTACGTCAAAATGAAGCCAATATTATATATATCTACATAAAATAATTTTTTAAAAGTACCAAAAAAAAACCAACAACAAATACCCCCACAAAAGGAAATAAAGTTGTGTTAAGTCACAGAAAAAAGAAAGTACTTGGGAGGCAATATAGAACACCCTCTCATTTCTGTAAATGATGCAGCCCTCCACACTATCCAAGACACTCCTACACAGGAGAAAGAGGAGAGAGAGAGCCCTAAATTGCTGTGAAAAACAGTGAGATGGAACTTTCTATGCTCCCTTTTATGCTTTTCTCTTCATGTAAGAACAGAATGACTTTGCTAAGAATTGACATTTTGCAGTGCTTTCTTCAAGCACAGAAACAGTAGAGATTTTTAAAAATTTACACTTAATAATCCTTTTCCTTATGCTTGGTACTTTGAAAAGGACTTTCAAATAGACTCCAAGATTATTCAAAGGGACTCCAAGATAATTCCAAGTCTTGAGGATTTTCATCTTCACCTCTAAATATTAATATACCTTATATAATAAATCTTCCATACTTTTCCTTCACAAAATAATTCATAGTGCTAGCTCTAAGGCACAGACTCCCATGCCTCAAGTCCTGAAGCAATACTTGTTTTGATTTATGGTATTTTTGTCTATATAAATTCATCCCAAGAGAACTCTCCAGGAAATTTAGCTACCTATTTTCAAGCATAACACTCTTTATTAATACAGACTTTTCTTCTGTGTATTCACTTTCTCATCCTGACCCTCAGTGTGTTGGACCTTCTTTCTCACCAGAGTATAATTGATGTTATCTTTTCTGTTCCTCAGTCACCTCAGAAGACGGTCGTTCTTTGGATTTTGGCTTTCGAGTGGATACTGAAGAAAAAGGTTTCTACACAGAGAATTTTCACTCAGCAGCGTGGGTTTTCCGAGGCGACGATGGGAATCCTGAAGACAGTCCTAGATGTCTTAGTAAAAAACCACGACCAGTAGCTGGTAAGAATCTACAATCATAGCAAGATGGGTGAGCCTTATAGAACCTGTAGCTAGACTCCAGGTAAATCTCTGCAGTCACCAAACTGGAAAACTGAGGGGAGAGTTTGATGAACAAAAGAATGTATCATACACAACACATTTCTTAATATTGGGTTTTCTAAAACTGTCTTAAATGCTTATTCAAACAGGAAAGTAATTCTACAGTTGGAATAAAGATCAATATACTCAGAATAAAGAGTTTATTTTTATCCTTGCTTAAAAAGGACTTATTAATTTTAAAATATCTACTAAAAAGTATAAAGAAGTGATAAATTGTCACTTCTTATTCCAACTCCTCTAGATAACTGTTTTATTGTTTCTACATTTTTTATTATACATTCGTGTGGCCCTGTTCTTAAAAATACATGAAATACACATCTAATACTACTATCATGTATTTATTTTTATTTTGAAACATATCTTACAGCCTGCTTTTTACATTTGATAATGAGTATTCAATAATTATACCTTTAATTGATAATGTAAGCATTTTAATTTTTTGAAGATTTCATTAATATTAATGTTCCATGATATTTTGAGATAAATTTTAGTAAATTAAAAATTAATAACTGTATATATTTCTCTATTGCAATAATAGCTTGTGATTTATAAAAAAAAAGCAACTTACACCTGAATTACAATTTTCAATATTCAGGGTGCAGATATTCTGTAAGTTTCTATTTTGTTGTTACAAATAACCTTGATGAATAAACAACTGGACAAAAGCAAAGATCCAGGCAAAAAAGAATATTTTAAAATAACATATTTAATAAACATCATGCCTACTATGGTCAAGGCCCTGGGAGGAGTTGTCAAAGATACATAGAGAGAAATGACAGGTTTTAGAATATGACAAATTCTACAAAATGGCACATACTTCATTTAGTACAGGCATCATCATGTGCTCAGTTTCATCTTACCTCCAATTATACAGATAAGATGTAATACATGGACATATGTATATATTATGTATAATGTCATTTGTCTTACCTGTAGAGTAAAATAGAGCCTTTCTTGGTTTTCTTCTTATAAATACTATGAAATTTAACAATGGAGAGTTTTAATGAGGAGAAGTTGTATATCTAAATGAGTTTTCATATACATGCCTAAGAGAATACAAGGTTTGTCATTTGCATATTTAGAATATTTACTTACATTCATATCAAATCATAAACAATTTATGCTTAGCCACTCACTGAAAAGTAAACATGAGACTCTAAATCCAAAAGTATTCAGAGTGGAGTTTGTGAAAATCAAGAGAGGGGTTGAGGCATAAAGTTGCAGTTAAGTGAGATGAATGGATTGCACATCTAAAAATTTGAGAGGGGAAATCTAATGTCAAGTGTTCTTACCTGAATAAAATAAGAATATTAAAAATTAAATAAATCAGAACAAACACAATAATAACCAAAGGTGGATGATGGGGATCTAAGAGTAGCCTTAAAAAAAACCAGTAAATTTTCTTTATCTTTTATTTGAGTTAAATATAGAGAAAGAACACTAACTGAAGGTCAGATCTTCAGGTCAGGACCTCTATTTGTTTGTTCATTGGTATAGGCCAAGGTCCCAGAACAGTATCTGCTTCATCATGGGAAACCAATGTGCATTTGTAAAATAAATAATTAAAAATACTATAAGTACAATACAATAAGTACTATTGAATAATTATCACCTATGTGATCTTGGAAAAAATATTATCCTTCTGCCTATCTCAGCATTATAAAAATATAAAATAAAGTTATATATGTGAAAATTATAATGGGCTCTTTCTATTTATTTTAGCTATTTCCATCTCCCCCTTTAATTTCTTTTAATTTTATTACAAGTATAGTTCAATGACAACTATAAATATATACGTATTCACATACATGTTTATGCATATTCACATACATTTATATGTAAAATATACATAATTAATATTGTATTACAAATTCAGTAAATTATCAAATATTTATGAAATATTTGTTTGTGGCAGAAACCAAAGAACATAAAGAGGAGGAAGATATAACTTCTACCCTCATAGTATTTTAGCTAAAACCTGATGTATAATGCATATAAAAAATACAATTATTGTAATTTCTACTATTGTTCGTATCTATCAAAGAACAGCATTTTACTTAATTTGGTATCATTTGCTTGGGTAAAAGAAAACAAATGGGACTGATTTTTTAGTGTGAGCATATAAATATATTGGTACACATGCATATATGCATACGTATGTATATATGTGTCTCTGTGTATGTACAAAAATATATTTAAATTTTGCAAGTGAGCTCATGATACAATTTATTGGACTGAACCTCAGTTCAAGAATATCCTTGTTATCTTTTCTTATTATTACTAATACTTCAAGTGTTATATGTGTCAGAGACCTATGTTCATAACTATGTGGTACCAAGAGACCAATAAAAGAAGATGGAAATTAAGAAAAATTAGTTGAGGGCAAATAGATAATTTTTGAACTGAAAATATCCTCATTAACCAGATAAAATTTTAAGCATATTACAATATTAATTTATATCTACCAAAATGAATTTCATAAAATAAAATTTATAATTTAAAAATAAATAATCCTATCCTGAATTTCCTGAAAGAATTCTTTTGAGTTGAATAAATAGACAAAGACCATATCACTATGTGAAAATTTTAGGGTGTGTTTAGTATACCAGTTTTGCTATATTTGTGGAAATATTTGCCCTTTGTTTGAATTTTTACATCTAGCAATATGATTCTAAGGAGATATTATCTGGGGGGATAAATTATTGATGATGTGCCAAACAGTCTCTGAAACAACAATAATATTCATTTGTGGCTTTTCTGCAGTTGTGCAGTACTTGTAGATTTTCTACTAGACAGTGACAAGGGAAACCAGGACTATTCATTTTAAAATATGAGAAAATTGTCTTCTGAATGGGAGGGGAACATGCTACAAAACATTTTGATTGTCTCTTCTCCCACAGGAGAGCTCTACAGTTCACCATTTCAAGATTTTATTGAATTGTTTATTTTTTCATACACATTGTTGACATTCAATTTGCCTGATTGAAAAACTGAAAAGAAAGAAACACTACCTTGAAAGCAATAGCTAGCTTAACAGTCTCATGCCATACGAAAGTAAAATAACAAACATAATTTGATTTGAATCAACACAGTAAAAATACTCCATTAAACAAATATCTGTTGGGTAATCAATCTGTCAAAAGCACAAGATAGTATCAAGAGAGTAACCCAGAGGAAGCAGGAAGTCTTGACAAGTAGAGATATTAGAAATGATTTCTACAGGGGTCAGAAATAGGATTTCTGATTTTTTTTACTTGATTAGCTACCAACCTGTTGCAGATTGCTGAAATATTAATTCCTAAGTCCTTGAATTTCCCAGTTCTGTTTCTTAAATTATACCAAGATCCAGTAAGTGGCAGTCCAAACAGTCCTACCAAAGAGAATTGTATTAACAAGTAATGGAGATTTCCCTAGAAGCATCCAACAGAGCAGAGCACAGAATTTTAGAGCTGGAATGCATTATTATCTTCTCAGCAACCTTGGTAGGCTTTTCCTGATTATAGTAAAATAAAACAACAACAACAACAAAAATGCATTTTCTTCGGACATTTTGTGAAAACTAACCTTCCTTCAGGAATTCACATGAAAAGACTATCATTTCTGTCTTTGAATGTTTGCCTCTTTTGGCTGTCAATGTCTGGCATAAACTCCATGAGAAAATCACCACTTGTCTGTCCTCTCCACTACATTCTAATACATAGGGAAACACCAGAAATATAGTAGGTGCTCAGTAAATGCTTATTAATGAATGACTTCTGCTATCAAACTGTGATGAATCTGGAAGAACAGATGCATGTTTCCTTGTTTTTATCAGATACTTATGTTATCTCTCTGATCAAGGAAGTGGTCACATCTGAGCATGTATGGACAAATTGCTTAACCTTTTACTATATTTGTTATTTCTCATAGGAAACTTAATTTGAAAAATATTGATTTACCTCATAATATCTGAGAGAAAATTAAATAAGTTAAATGGCAAATCATCTTATAAACTGTGCCAAGTAATATAAATTTATAATACTAATATTTCTCCCAATGTCAAGGACATGCTCACCTAACTCTACCTGCCAGAGATGGTAAGAAAGAGATTCCACACCAATTGGGAGACTGAACTAAGGGCCTTCCCAGTCTAAATAAATTGTTGTCCATCACTTTAAATTATCAAGAGTTCTTTTGGCCTCTTAAATGCTCTTAGTTCTGGCCATATTTCAGCTACATTTTTACTTTCTGTGATAGTCTTTGAATACAGACCTAAAAAAGAGACTACTCTACACATTTCTCTCTGAGAAATGAAAAGTGACAAAAACGTTTTTAAAAATTGACATAAGGCAGCAAACTGTATTATCCTTAAATTCTAATGTTTCCTATTTTTTTTATGAAAGGAGACTCTTGAATTTTAGTTTAAATTTTAAGGTGTTAGGTTACCCTGACCTTATTAATAAATCACCTTTCTTATTTCATAATGAATTACCTGACTTTCTCCAGGACCCCAGAATAGGCCTATTATTAATACTTCACTATTGTAGCTCAGAGATTTATCATACTTTATTATTATTTACTTTCAGTTATTTTTAGTTATTCATTGACATAGAAAAAAATTGATATATATAAATCTAATTGTTCAAGGAAGATTAATGCTCTCAGTATTATTTTAGTACTTCTCTCTGGTGGACTTGACCATAAATAAAACAGAATACACATTATTTTGAAGTCTTTTGTTATATTTCTTTATTGGAGACCATTGTTAGCATTCAAAAATGAATCATCTGCAATTACACAAGCCCTTCAGGTATCTTATTTCGTGTACTCTGAGATGATTCAGGTATATTTTTTTTTCCTAAATAAGAAATTAATTAATTGTATCATTAAAAGATTAAAATGCCTACCATGTTCACATCTCCCTCTATGGAAACTTTCCTTCCACAAAAGGAAGAGACGGTCTTGTGGCAGCATGTTTTCTGGCTTGGAATCATGCCGGATCCTTGCCTTTGAAAATTAACAACACAGAAGAATTCTGATCAGAAAGGATTTTTACCTGTGAGATTCCCTCCTACTGGAATTCAAAGTTGGAAAATGCTCTTGGTAGTGAACACGGAAGTTAAAATGTTTCAAAATGGAGAAAACTCAAGAGGGCCCATGAATGGGCTGAAGTTATGAATAAGCCAAACTTATCACAAGCAGAAGCTGAGGAAGAAACATTCACACATCTATATCTATGTACACAGAAAAGAGGGTATGAAGTCAGCAGGGAGAAGAACAAACAGAAGGAAAAGCAGATGAAGAGGTTGCTGGACTAGAGTAAAAAGCCATGGGCTGTTAGTGAAGTTCTTCGGACTCTCTACCTTCAATGAAGCACAAGCTAGGAGTTTCTCGTAGAAAGACCCAGTTATTCCTATATTCTTCTGAAAAGCTCAGCTTTTTCTTGGATTCTCCTAAGACTTAAATCTATGGGTGAAGATTCTGTTTTCTTATCTACATATATAAGCTTACACTAAATATCTTATTTACAGATCTAGGTGACTTGGATCTTTAAGGCTCAGGTGCTTTGCAGGTAGCTGTCGCACAGTGGTTAACAGGGAAGGCGTGGGCATTGTACTGCTCTACCCCTTCCTCACTGGATGACTCAGGCAAATTGTTTAACCTCTCCGTGCCTCAGTTTCCTCTTCCCCCAAAATAAGAATAATAGGCTGTTGTATAAATTAAAGTGGATACTACTTATTTAGTATTGGTTAGAACATTTTTATTAGGTCTGGCATGTAATAAACAACGATAAATATTAGCTACTTTAATAATAATATAGTTAATTTATAATATCTAAAAATTAACTCAAAGCAATGCCCCTTTGCTTTCTTTTTAGTTCGTGAGCGAACGGTGAGACTATTCAAGGGAACTGGAGATTATCCTTGGGGATTCCGAATTCAGTTCTCCAAACCAATCATGGTAACTGAAGTGGATACCAGTAAGTGGTCTCGTAATAAAAAGCTTTAATTCATTTCAGAACAACTATCTCAACCCTAGCAAAATACATAAAATAGCCTTCAATATCATAGTCATGTAAAGTCCACATACATAGTAAAAGCAACTTGAAAATCTCAGTTACCAAAAATTCATGATTGAGAACGTTCATATCATGATTGCATATTTTAAAAGACATGTATTCCTGATGGAATGTACCTTTCTGATTGACAGAGAGCATTACTTAGTCTTCTTACCAAAGAGCCCTTCTTGTTTCTACAGAAATAGGACTCAATTCTGGAGGTAAGAAGAATATTGACCATACATCTCTTGTCAGTATTTTATAGTTTCTGGGAGGAATTCTAGTACTCCTAAATTATTTTCTCTATGGCTTCCCAAGTGTCCAGATTTTTTAATTAACATATTAAGAATTAGTAAATAATGTTACATTAGATTTTTCTACTTCCTGATTTGTAATTTGATAATAACCTGAGATGGATGATTTGAAAAAAAAATTAAAAGCAGATCCCAAACAATATCATTAGTAGAAGCATAAAATAAATGTTTCCACACTCAGCCTGGTACATTAGGGGAGAAGGATGAGATTATCACAGAGGGAAACTCAGGGCCTCTAGAGAGTTTCTGAATTCCTTTATTATCAATTGTTTGTTTATCTATCTCCCCATCTCAACTCTGAGTTTTTGACCCCAAGGTCAAAAACTGCATTTCACCTATCATTTTATCCTCAATCTGGGGAAGCATCCAAAGGACAACAGAAGGGTGCTCCAATAACAGTGTTGAGTAACTGTGAGAGCCCTGGATACCAGAAGGCTGGAACAGTATGGAGGAGGGGAGACCAATACTTCAGGAAGACCCACCCTTCCTGCTTTGGCCACACACCCCTAATCGCATTTCTGACCTCATTATCACTAGAGTCCCATTTCATTTCTCTCTGTCAGAGTTCCTCTGTTGTAGACTCTGTAGTTCTGTTGGAAACTGCCTTTCTTCTGTTGTAAAGAAGTGAATGACTATTCAGCTCTGGTGAAAGTGACAGGGGTGTCAGGTGCATCAGAGTAAATTGTTACCTCCCAGCCCATCACACAGGCATAGCTGAGCAGGAAACAGTGTTCAGACCACCACCAATTTTTTTTTATATTAATGGAATTTTTAACCAACTCTCAGGGTATGAGAGTAGAGTAGAATGTAAGATCTTTCGGGCCCATTAAGGAAATTAAAGTTCATCCTGAGGAAATTTCTTGCAGGTTATCATGCATCCCACGTGGTCAATAGCACACATTCTATGAATTGTAGAGTTTAGTCTCCTATAAGTATTATCTAAATACTAAGTAACCTGAACACCTATTTTAGATTCATTGATGTTACAAAAGAGAGACATTTACTTATTTATAATATCAAAGTATCGATCGGTTAATTTCACTTTAAGTGTAAAAGCCATGTTATGTCACAGAGGAAAAGAACTCACGTTCACTAAGGGGTGCCTATTTTGAACAGTATATTTGAGAGCATACATGCTCTTCCTGTTAATGCATGTTTAACACAACTTTGAAATTGATGTTTTCACATCCATTTAATAGATGAATAGATTAAGGTCAAAGTTGTTAAATGCTAAATGGCCTGCCTAAGGCTTTATAGCTATGGCCAAGGCAACACCAGCATTCAGGTCTCAGAATTTCTACCTCCAGAACTATGATTTATTTCACTATGTTTTATTTCAGTCAGGACTCTTTGGGAACTTATAGAACATTGGACTGTACATTGTTTAAACAATAAAGGGGAAGGATGGGCTCACAGAAACTAAAGGCTCTGAGCTGGTGCTGGGATTTGATTTGCTTCAGTGGCTCAATAATTTCATCAAAGGCATGACTTCTTTCATTCCCTTCTTTAGTATTGCATGCTTCCTGTTGAATACAAAACAATCTCCACAGTTCTAGCCTTTTTCCATCACAAATCATAGGGTTAAAAAGAGACAGAGGACAGTTTTCCAGCTTCAAATACCCTTATGTTGCTATCACCCCTGGGGCCCACTGTGAGCAGGTTTACATAGGCCAATGGCAAAGGGGAATGAGATTGTTATAACTGACTTACTAGAAAGCCAGGGCCTACTCTGGACCTGAAGCAGAGAAATACTCCTTTACCTTCCACAAGCTTCTACATGATGGAAAACAGAAGGAGGTAAGGTTGTAAGGTCTAAAGAAACCCTCTAACCTCCCAGCGTCAAGCCATATTAAGACAGTGGCTCCCTGCACACAACGAGACACAAACAAGCAGCACAAACACACCAAGTATCACTTAGTTAATGCAAAAGAGGGATTTTTGCCTCTTCTTGATGTAATAGTACTTGACATCTCATCCCTTTCTCTAAAAATCTGATTCGACTTATCAAAAGAACTGCCTTTGAAATTTTCATGACTTGATTCAGGCCAAATTTATTCCTGACTACTGAAAATGTTAAATACATTAAATACCACATCAACTCTTCTTAGCTAATGGTTTAGCTAACTACACATTACCTCTGATATTTAATTGTTTATGGAATGAACAGCATTCAGTTGGTATATTAAATAAAACAATTTTTTCTCAACACTCTAATCAATTAATCTAGGTGAGTTTCGAGATGATCTCTAATTTTTTTTGTCTCTCTTAAATAATAAAGACGCCACCTCTTTGTTTCATCATTAAAAGTCTAGACTAACGTAATAATCTGAGAACTACAAGTCAGTTTAGTATAATCATCAAAATGTCAGAATTTGTGAATATATATATATATATATATATATATATAAAATCTGTAGGTATATATATCAGAATTCTTATCCATTCTAATTTTTTTTCTTCCCCTCAGTTTGAACCTTCTCAGCTTTGCAAGCATGGTTATATTCTCTACAATTTCCTATCTCTACTTCCTGTTTATCAGAAATCCTACATCTACACCTCCAAATGGAATGGAATTTGTATCTTTTTCTGCCTCCTTCACCTATCAAAATCCAGTCCTTTCTGTTGTGTGCTTGATCCCCTTTGTTCTCACTTTGCCATGACTTACTAAATATTAGTAAATTAGGAACAGATAAAAACCTTTTTAACGTAACAAAGGAAGTTCATTTTTCTCAGTTCCTGTCCTCTGATAATAGACTGAATATAAATGTACAAGAGGTTAAAGGAAATCCCTGTGCCTGGCAAAGGTGGGAAGAAGAGCCTCAGAGCACAGTGCAGGTCTGTCTGGCACCTGAGAGAAGAAGAAAAGCAGGACTAGGCAGAAAGAGCCTCAAACTAGTTCTGAGAAATTCTGAGACAGGCTAATAGGGAGCCCCAGAGCAGGGACTATTAAAGGAATCCTGCTTTGTCAAGCAACTGCTTGACTCTAGCATCCCCTCCAAATTCAGTCACTACCTGGAATCAGCCTGGGAAAAGCATGGCCTCAATGTGGGAGATCATGGGTCCAAATGAGTGGCAGTCAAAGGTTCTTGGTTCCAGTCCTTGCAACAGGTAGATCTGGGCAGTGTTAACGTAAGACCGCTACAATGGGTGCAGGAGAGTAAGCCTTGGTGAGGAAAAAAAGGAAACTGATAGGAATAATTCTAATAAAGGTAAAAATCACTACTTTGAAAGTGAAATGCTATAGAAAGAAATCAAAGGATGACAAAATTAACAGCAGGGAAAAACGCATTCATCCGTTTTAAATCTTAGTATTTAAAGATGTCAGTTCTTCCCCAAATTATCAGTATGTATAATCATATTCAAAATTCTAGTAGTTATTTTTGTCTTCAGATTCATTTATTTTTGGTAAGAAGTTCTCAATTAGATTCTAAAATATTTACAGGAAAACAAAGGGCTAAGTTACTAAACTAAATTTTTTTTTAATACAGGGGAAAAGCCTTCTATTTCATAATTAGATGTTAAAATACAAATGCAGGGATATATTCTTATTCTAATGTGAATGGATTTCAATTAAAGTTAAGTCAATTAATCAAATTATGTATGTGTGTGTGTGCATGGGTGTGTGCATGGGTGTGTGCATGGGTGTGTGTGTGTGTGTGTGTGTGTGTGTGTGTGTGTG